ACTGCAACCTCTGCCTCCTGGGTTCAAGCAATTCTCCTGCCTCAGCCTCTCAAGTAGCTGGGATTACAGGCATGAGCCACCATGCTCGATTAATTTTGTATTTTTAGTAGAGACAGGGTTTCACCATGTTGGTCAGGCTGATCTCAAACTCCTGAACTCAGGTGATCCGCCTGCCTCAGCCTGCCAAAGTGCTGGGATTACAGGCCTGAGCCACTGCACCTGGCCAGTAATTGTTTTATGAATCTGGGAGCTCTAGCATTAGGTGCATATGTGTTTAGGATTGTTATATTTTCCTGTTGGACAAGGCCTTTTACCATTATATAATGCCTCTCTTTGTGTCTTTTAACTGCTATTGCTTTGAAGTTTGTTTTGTCTGATACAAGAATAACTCCCCATGCTCACTTTTGGTGTCCATTTGCATGAAGTGCCTTTTTCCACCCCTTGACTTTAAGTTTATGCGAGTCATTACATGTTTAATGAGTCTCCTGAAGGCAGCAGATAGTTGGTTGTTGAGTTCTTATGCATTCTTCAGTTCTTTATCTTTTAAGTGGAGCTTTTAGGCCATTTACATTCAATGTTAGTATTGAGATGTGAGGTACCATTCCATTCATTGTGCTATTTGTTGCCTGTGTACCTTGGTTTTTTTGTTGTTTGTTTTTGCTTTTTAAATCGTACTTTTGTTTTATAGGTCCTGTGTGATTTATGCTTTAAAAAGGTTTTGTTTTGTTATGTTTCCAGGATTGTTTCAAGATTTAGAGCTCCTTTTAGCAGTTCTTTTAGTGCTGACTTGGTACTGGCGAATTCTCTCCACATTTTGTTTATCTGAAAAAGACTATCTTTCCTTCATATATGATGCTTAGTTTTGCTGGATACAAAATTCTTAGCTGATAATTATTTTGTTTGAGGAGGCTGGGGATAGGGCTCCAGTCCCTTCTACCTTATAGACTTTCTGCTGAGAAATCTGCTGTTAATCTGATAGATTTTCCTTTGTAGGTTCCTAGTGCTTTTGTCTCATAGCTCTTAAGATTCTTTCTTTCATCCTAAGATAACCTGATGACAGTGTGCCCAGGCGATGATCTTTTTGCGATGAATTTCCCAGGTGTTCTTTGTGCTTCTTGTATTTGGATGTCTTGGTCTCTAGCAAGGCCAGGAAAGTTTTCCTTGATTATTCCCCAAAATATGTTTTCCAAGCTTTTAGATTTCTCTTCTTCCTCAGGAACACAAATTGTTCTTAGATTTGGTCTTTTAACATAATCCCAGACTTCTTGGAGGCTTTGTTTATATTTTCTTACTCTTTTTTCTTTGTCTTTGTTGTATTGGGTTAATTTGAAGATTTGTCTTCGAATTGTGAATTTCTTTCTTCTTAGTGTTCAATTCTACTGCTGAGACTTTCCAGAGCATTTTGCATTTCAATAAATGTGGTCAGTGTTTCCTCAATTTTTGATTTTTTTTTTCTTTAAGCTATTTATTTCCTTGAATATTTCTCCCTTTACTTCTTGTATTGTTTTTTGGATTTCCTTGCATTGGGCTTTGCCTTTCTCTGGTATGTCCCTGATTAGCTTAATAAATAACCTCCTGAATTCTTTTTCAGGTAAATCAGGGATTTCTTTCTGGTTTGGATCCATTGCTCATGAGCTAGTGTGATTCTTGGGGGTGTTAAAGAGCCTTGTTTTGTCGTATTACCAGAGTTGGTTTTCTGGTTCCTTCTCATTTGGGTAGGCTCTGTCAGAGGGAAAGTCTAGGACTGAAGGCTGTTGTTCAGATTCTTTAGTCCCATGGGGTATTCTTTTGATGTAGTACTTTCTTCCTTTTCCTATGGATGTGGCTTCCTGTGAGCCAGACCTCAGTGATTGTTGTCTCTCTTCTGGGTTTAGGCACCCAGCAAGTCTGTCCAGCTCCAGGGTAGTACTGGAGCTTGTCTGCACAGAGTCCTATGATTTGTGGGGGCCTCTCAGCTGTGGATACCAGCAACTGTTCTAGTGGAGGTTGCAGTGGGTGAAATGGACTCTGTGAGGGTTCCTAGCTTTGGTGGTTTAATACTCTGTTTTTGTGTTGGTTGGCGTCTTGCCAGGAGGTGGCCCTTTACAAAGAGCATCAGTTGTGGTAGTAAAGAAAGGAACTGACGGTGGGTGGGATCCTACAACTTCCAAGAGTGTATGCCCTTTGTCTTCGGGTACCAGGGTAGGTAGTGAAGGCCCATCAGATGGGGGGAGGGCTAGGTGTATCTGAGCTCAGACTCTCTTTTGGTGGGTCTTGCTGCAGCTGCTGTGACGGATGGGGGTGAGGTTCCCAATTCAATGGAGTTGTGTACCTGCGAGGCTTATGGCTGCCTCTGCTGAGATGGTCACAGACCTTACCTAGCTCCCAAGCAATCTGAAGGGCTGGTCTCTCTCCCACTGTGCCTACCCTAACAGCACTGAGTCTGTTTCCAGGCAGTGGGTGAGCAGGGCTTGAGAACTTGCCCCAGGCTACCAGCCTCCCAGTTGTGAAAGAAAAGGGCTTTAGTTTCTTCCCCCACCTGTGGAGTCTGCACACTGGATTCACACCTTCCTTTGAGCTCTGGCCAGGAGGCTTCTTGCCTGGTTCAAATTGTTACAAAGTTCAGCTGGAGACTTTCTTCTCCCTGTGGCACTTTCCACATGCCTCTGGCTGCCCTCCCGAAGGATCCGTGTGGTGCCAGGCAGGAATGGCCTGCCTGGGGACTCAACAAGCTCCTGGGGCCTTGTTGAGAACAAGCCCACTGCGGCTTCTTCTCCTGTATTTCCCTTGGGTGTCTAAACTGAGTCTGCTCCAGGAAAGGTCAGAAACTTCTCCCGCAAATTAGACCTTCAGTTTCCCCAGTGAGTGTGTGTGTGTGGGAGAGGAGGATCTCCCTTTCCCACTTTTGTAGTTTGGGCAATCACAGCATTTGGGGTGTCTCCTAGGTCCTGCAGGAGCAGTCCTCTTCCTTCAGAGGGTCTGTGGGTCTTTTGGGGATTCCTGGTTTGTTCTTGCAGTTGTTCTGGAGGAAAATTCACTACATGAGCCTCCACACACTGCTCTGTCCATCCACATCGGAGCTGCAATTTAATTCTGCCTCCTGTCAGCTATGATGATCTCTCTCCTGATCTCTATTCATTTTTAATTATATTTTAAAATGGGATTGATCTGCAAAAGATTGGGGCTTGGGGGGTGGGGGGGACCTGTTCTTTCACTACAGGTAGTGTGTGAGAAGCTCTGCTCAGCATACTCAGGCTGTTTTCAGCGTTATCTCCTACTGTTTTTCCCCTAGTTTACTTCACTCTGTACTCCTTGCTGTTCCTCAAGCATGCTAGGCAGGCTCTCACCTCAGATCTTTTGAACTTGATTTTCTTTTTTTTCTGAAATACTATTCTCCCAGACAGGAACATAGCTCCATTTGTCTTTGGAAAAGTCCTTTTCAGTTTGTTGATATTTATTCTCTACCACCCACTCTTCTTTTGTGCTTACTGGGCCCCTTAGATCAGTGAGATGAAAGTGAGCACCCTTGTCTTATTCTTGGCTTTTTGTGGTATTTCTCAAGTTCTGTTACTATGTATACATTTTTTAGGCTTTTTGATAAATGTTCTTTTTTATATTAATGAATGTTTGCTTTTTTCTTAGTTTGCTAAAAATTGTTTTTAATCATGAGTGTTGAATACTTTTTCTGCATACATAGTGATGATCATACTTTTTCCATTTTAATCTTTTGATGGGATATAGTAATAGATTTTTCTGATGGAATCTTTTATCACCAAAACAGATATACAAACATAAAAATAAGTAAGAAAAAGAAGATAAAGTGTTTTGAACAGTTCATTTAGAAAATTCTTCCTAGTTTAGATGTTATCTTTTATCCTAAACTATGTGTATTTATTCTTTTTTTTTTTTTTTTTTT